GAGTGTTTCCATTCCATAATGCACTCCTTCAGCAAATGTTCATTGAGTGATCAGAGTCTGTGTGAGGCCAGAGGTGGGGTCTCCAGGGAATGCCAAAGTCAGTAGGCAAGGGACGCTCACAACCAACCAACCAACTCTGTAATATTAGAATAAGTCTCATAATAAAAGTTAGTAAAAAGTTCCAGAGGACAACAACGAGGGAGGAATGGGTGTTATTTGAATGTGACAATGAAAGCTTCATCAAAGAAGCTGGCATTCAAACGTGGCCAGATGGAATGGGGGAGGGACGTAACAGCGCAGGGTAAGAAATAACCAATATGGTAGATTTCACTTCACAGTCATCTTGATTGGGTTAACATCTACTGTTATTTTTCTTGCTCAGCCTAGAGAAAAGCTTGGTCAAAAACAACTGACTTTATGCAACTCTAGATAAAAGTATGAGTTCAGATGATTACATATAACTGAAAATATAATACTATTAACCAAGCAATATATTTTGATTCAAATAGAGGAAATTCCTTTTAAGCATTAAGGAATTCAGTGACTAATTTTTCTTCAGCCACAAGGAAGAGACATGAATAAGGGAAATACAGATATTAGAAGCCCCAGTACCTGGCACCGATGTGGCATGGAGAACGTTCTGTCAGTATTGCTTGGCACAAAGTTTGCCGTGTAGAAAATGCTCAATAAAAATCACTTCAGTTACTTTGATGTTTCTGTAAATTGATTTTCCTTATTTCTTTATAACCAAATTATATGGAGCTGTGTTTAATGAACCTGCCTTTTCTCAATTTCAAATTCTAATTTCAGTTCCTGATTTGTACCTGATAAGTTCTAGAGTAACTGTCAGTGTGAGATATGTGATGCCTGCCTTTGTGCTAGGATTTAAAACTCGAGGTTAATATAAAACTTAATGGTGAAGTGTCTTAATAAAACATCATCATTACATTTAGGGCTGTTTCAAGAGTTAAGAAAAAAACATAAAATACTGAATGTTTATGCAATAATCCTGCTTTCCATACATATATTACATTTGAAGTCTCTTTCATTTTGAAAACTAAGCATAAATTATAGTGCCCACTTAAATAATATTGGCTTTATCCCTTCTTGGTGCACTTTGATTAATGGAAACACTGGAAAAGAGCATCTCTTCGCTTAAGTACTACAAAAACAGTTTTCCGTCTCACCTCAGGTTCGAAATACATTATTGAAATAGAAATGGACTTGTCCCCATTAGAAACTATTGTCAAGTTATGAAAATGTAATCATTACAATACATTATTATATTTAAGTATAAGAGCTCTGAACTGCAGTCTGTGTCATTGAGTGGCATATTTTAAACGAAGAGTAATATACCAGTTCTCTTCAGAAAGCTTAATGCTGAAAAACAATTTTATCTAACTATGAACAATGAGAAAAAGCATTACAAAATACATTTTGAGTATGCTATGAAGAATATGAACATAATACAGAATTAAATTTAGCACAATTAAGAGTAGGTTTTGAAGATATTTTCTTAAATGCTTTAATATAGTCATCATCATTTCAGTTTGCAGTTTTAATGAAAAGAAGCTGTATGCACTGACTTTTTTGACAGGTATTATTAAATAAGCATGCATTATCCAGCAGCCTATTTGGTTACACAAAAGTTGAGGAGTACCTAAAAGTAAACACAAATAGTGGCTTTAATGATATTTCTGTGCTGAAATGTACTTTGATGGTGAGTGTTGTAACGTGCTAAATTCTGAGGTTTGAGTACAACAGAAACCATACTGTATTGAGACGTTCCACCTACAGTTTGTGGTCATGAAAGTCTGGTTAAAAGTGGTTTTAGATATATGAAAGTATTTCGGGTCAGTGCCTTACTGTATTGAACCTACTCTGAAGTCTATTTCACTAGACAAAATAGCAATGTGCAGGTGTATTTGCATAACTAAACTGCCTCTAAGAGAACTATTAAGAGACATTTTGTGTAAATCTGTGTAATTAGTGATGATACTTTTTATCCATTCCAAAAAGATAGTCTTTATTTAGCTCATCCCTAATACCAATCATGACTCATCTGAATGAACCAGGATTTTAAAAGTTTCTAAAGTAGTATGATGATCAGATGGGAAAATAAAACACTAGCTGTATTTTATTAGAAGCACTTTAGTAAGGCAATCAATAAACATAAAACAGAAGGTGAGAATTTGGCAATTATTACAAAGAAAAATTATTCAAGTTGAAACGTAAATAACGTAATCTGAGTAGGTACTGACTAGCTGATGTGGGCTGGTGAATACCTAAATGCTGTATTTTCCAAAGAATGAGCAGTTCATAGTTCAGCTTTATCTTTCTGTCAGGAATAGTAAGATCCTCAAATAGTCTTGATCAGTAGACTCTTCAAGCCACCAGGACAGTTATATTTTGTAAGTTCTTTTTTTCCTCTGAGCCAACTGGGATTTACTGAGCTTCTACTTTGAACACCAGGCTTGTTACTGTACATATGTTATTTTATATAATCCTCACCACAACCCTAGGAGTAGGTGTTATCTCCATTTTTTAGATGAAAAATCAAACTTGGAGAAAAATAAGATTTGAAGAAGTTAAGTGAATTTCTCATGACTAGTAAATAGGTCGACTTTCAAACCTAGGGTCCACTGAATTCAAATTCCATGTTCTTCCCTTTCTGTTATGCCGCCTTTGGTGAAGATGTGAAAAAAGAACAAATAATTATTACGTAGGGTATACATTTATCTTTTTAAAATTCTATTTATGAGTTGCTGAATAAAAATTTGCCAAGGAAAGTTATCACAATTTTATATAACATACATCAGTTTGATATTTCTAAAAACCAAATAATAGTTTTCCGTATTTAGTTTTTTACACTACAGATCCTTACTGTGTGCCCATGTCTGCTGTTCTAGGAACTCAGGATACAGCAGTGAGCAAAATAAAAACGGTACATTTCCTCATGGAACATACGCTATAGCGGAAGAGATGGACGTTAAACAAATGATTACACACAAAAGTATACAAATTATAAAATATAAGTGCTATTAAGAAAAAATAAAGGATAGTAGGTAAAACAACAAGTATTAACAAAAGTGTAGAGGAATGAGGAGACCAGGAAGTCAGCTTTTCTCTCTGCTTGTCCACCCACAGTTCCTGTCAACACATTTATTTAGGTGTGTGGGTCAGGGTGAGGAGGTTCAAAGTCCACTCGGTGGTCTCTAGCTTGGCTGACTTCATTTATGGTGAGGTGAGGGACCCCGGAAGGGGAGCAAATTCAAAGCAGAAGATGAGCTTGGGCTTTGGGGGTTTGAGATTCCTAGAACATTCAGACAGACACCAGACTAGAGGGCATCCATTGGGTGTCTGAAGAGGAAGAGAAAGATAAGGAGTGGGAATCTAGATTTAGGAATTACACAGAAATAGGTAGTACGTAAAACTGAGCGGGCCTCTGCAAGATGGGTTGGATTTGAAGGTGAGAAAAAAATTTAAATAGTCGCTTTTGAAAAAAATAATAAAGTCATTCAGCATTTGCCAGGGAATTGGAGATGCCTCAAAAACCTGCTTCTGAAGAGTGATGGTAAGCACTCCTCAAAATAAACAAAGAAGCAAGGAAATAAACATTCTGTCAGCAGTAAGTTTGGGAAGCAGGTTAAAATTTAAAGGTTTCTCAGCCTTTAATATACCAATGTGCCTCATTTTCCAAAAGCATTGAACCATTGAACTTTCTGTCTTAAGGAGTATTTTATAGAAATAATACTCTACAAAAGACTTGCTGGGAAACACTGGACCATGTAAAGACTTATAACTAAGAATATTCATGGTTTTTGGTGGGCAGGCTGGAGTTTAATCAAGAGAAGACTGAAATTGGGAATAGTGAAATACGTATTTTCATTCAGTAGCATTGGTAGGTAGAAGTATCTGAAACGAAAGAAAGGAAGCTGTTGTAGCAGCTCATCAAGAAAAGGCAGTGATGTTAGCCACTATATATAAAAACAAGATTTTGAAAAAAAAACTTTCTTCTGTATAGCACAGGGAACTATATTCAATATCTTGTAATAACCTCTAATGAAAAAGATGAAAATGAATATATGTATCTGTATGCATGACTGGGACATTGTGTTGTACACTAGAAATTGACACATTATAACTGACTACTTCAATTTAAAAAGGAAGAAAGAAAAGGCAGTGAGAAGAGTGAGGTTTTGAAAATTGGGATGAATCGAGGAGGGAATGATTTCAGACAGGGAAGTCATCTAGGACAGGAAGCTGATAAGAATGTGAATGATAGAGATGCCTGGGAAATAGATGAGAAAGCGTGAACCTGAGAAACATTTTGAGGGAAGGAATTAGGGCACTTGGTAACAGATTAGATTAAAACAAGAGAAAGGGAAAGATAACAAAACAGTTTCTGGCCTGGGAGAGGAAGAAAGATACACAGAAGAATGAAACCAAAACCCCAACAGTGTTATGGCTAAAGCACTTCCCAACTCCCTGCTGGATTTCTAGAAAACAGAATATAACACTGTCTGAAAGTACAGTCAGATCCCTTCAAGTGTTTTCAGTTAAATGGCATGAGACTAAACAATTTTGAGAATTTTTTAACGCAGATCTAGAATATTATGCCCATAATGTCATGTCCGCTCTTCAAGTGATGAAAAAAAAAGTTCCAGATTTATAATTAAGAAGTATGCTACCCCTGCCGAAATTAATTTTTTTAATCTTGAATTGCTCAAAGAAACATGTACAGTTCTCTGGTCACCTTCATTAAAATGCCCTACATTAAATCTGGCAATTTCACATTTAGCAACAAGCTAGAAATCACACATTTTCAAATTCTAAGCAGAAATCAGTTTTAGATTTATTTGCTTTCCTCCCAAATGTGTTACTGCCCAAGGGCTCTGACAACGACACACTTTGTTTTACAAAGGAAAAAATTACTGTTTTAAATAAAAATGCTTTTCCCCCCTCTCTTTAAAACACCTGCCTGCTTTTCTTTTTTCCAGGTGACATTTACAAAGAGGAAATTTGGTTTGATGAAGAAGGCGTACGAGCTGAGCGTGCTGTGTGACTGTGAGATCGCGCTGATCATCTTCAACAGCACCAACAAGCTGTTCCAGTACGCCAGCACGGACATGGACAAGGTGCTGCTCAAGTACACCGAGTACAACGAGCCGCACGAGAGCCGGACGAACTCAGACATCGTGGAGGTGAGCGCGCATGCGTGGTTGGTGATCCCCCAACTTCCGCAGAGCCTTGGGTGTTTGGCCCTCCCCTCTCGCTGCCTCCCGCCACACGCAGGCACAACCTTCCTTTTCCCAAGATGGTCATATTCCCACAGGTGTACCCCAGGTTATCACCCCAACCATTACTCCACCCTTTCCTCCTCAGAATGCAAGTTAGAGCAATAGGATAACAGGGAATATGTGAATCTGATCCTGGCTCGGAATCAGGCACCCATGTCAAATTATTGACCTCGTCCTTCTCAAGTCGTCATTGTCCACCACAGTGTCAGGACACTGAAATTGAGAAGTGTAGCCAGGGGGCGGCTCACCCACATTTTAGATTACCTCTCATAATTTCGTTTAAGTATACGCTAGTTTCCCACCATAGTCAAAAGAAAAAAAAATTTTTGATGTGCTTACCCCAACTTTACACTTCAGTTTTTCACTTTATATTTCTTCTTCCTAATTCATTCTTCCTAATGTATTGTTGCTGAAAGAGTAAAGATAATTATTCTCCTAGAAATGTTTTTCCCCAAAATTATATCATTTAATATAGAACTGTTAATATACATGGAGTCAGAAATCTGACGAAAATGAATTTCTAAATGTTAACCTCGTGTTTTCTCAAACTTAGAGTTAAAACAGTGTTTCATTGTGCCAAGAATAAATAAGCATTGTATTGAAACTCAAAAATATTTTTGATTTGTTAGCATAAATAACATTGCCATAAATTTTAAATGCTTGCCACATGTATTCTATTTAAATGTTATGATCTGATAGTACCCTTCATAAGCAATGAACATTAAACCAAAAAGGAAGTGGTTTTATGTCCCCATCTATTTTCCTCACCTGTCTTATGGTTTCCTAGATTGTGACTACCTTCCCAGAATTAAGAGAACATAAACGTTTCAAAAGTTTGTATTCTCAATCAGTTTGCCAGAGTACAGGTTATTCTTGCCATTCTGTGTTATGAAAAAATCCAGTTCTAACCCTGATCAATTTAATCTACCTCTCATATCCATCTTCTCTTTAAATATGTTATAATTGTCTAAGATTACTTCTCATTTCTTTGCTTTTATTGAGAAATTTTAAAACAGTACTGACATGATCAATTTTTTAATTTTTAATTTTTGCCTAATAGGACCAAGCAAATAATTTCAGAGAAACAAAAGTGTAGGATAAGTAGACCTAATGTGGTGTGTGTTTAAAATACTTTCAGGCTTGCATTACTGCACATGTAACTTTTCATTGATGATTTTAATTGTGGACTTACCTTGATCTTGAAATTGAAGATCATTTATAAAACTTACCTACTATATATTTCAGGTAGTATTTTATTCATATACACATGTAAGTGTGCAAATACATAAACAAACATGAAAATGAACAGAACTAGTCAGTTGTCAGACTTCCTAGGTGCTTTCTTGAGTGTGTGTTTGTATGTGTGTGTATATGTGCACACTCACACACATCTAACATAAGTTCTGAACACAGAACAACTCTATACTCAAAACTCCGTCTCATTACAAAAACCATTACAGCAAACATTCCAGGGTAACAGAAGAATTTGAATTAGAATTTGTCATTAGACTTGAACTACTCCAATCTTTAATATGATGTGAAATGCAGTGGAACCATATTAAACTAGTTGAAAATTTGTTGACTTTTAAAATTTGTTTTCTTAAAGGAGTTTAAAAATCTGTAAAATTACCTTCTGAGGGCTTTACTCAGAAATATACTATGCGGTTTAAAAGTGATTTACAGCTTCACATACTCTATAGAGTTTCATATTCTTGGACAGATGGGTATCTGAGCCAGACTTCTTCAAGGTCATGAAAGGAGCATTGGGTTGAAAGTCAAAGGGCTTGTATTTGTGTTTTTTCTTATTTTTTAAAACTTTTTAAATTGAAGTATAGTCAATTTAAAATGTGTTCATTTCTGCTGTAGAGCATAGTGTTTCAGTTATACATACATATATATATTCCTTGTTCTATTTCATTATAGGCTATTACAAGATATTGAATATAGTACCCTGTGCTATACAGTAGGACCTTGTTTATCTCTTTTGTATATGGTAGTTAGTATCTGCAAACAAAGGGCTTGTATTTGAACCCTTGTCTTGCACAATATTACTGTGTGACCAATTAGCTACTTCTAGGGGCTGAAGTTTTCTCATCTCAAAAATGAAGGCATCGAATTTGAAAATTCTTTGCAATGTAATGCTTTAAAAAGCAAAAAGAGACAAAAGCAGCAATTCCGTTTTTATCCTGCACTTAACATCAATAGATTAAAGTTCTGAATCTCTCAAAAAGACATTCTGGGGCTCCTAGACCAAAACTAGAGATGATTTGATTCTTTGGATGAAAATATATGTCTGACACATTGTGGGACTGCCCAGCTCAGCTACCTGAAATGTCACCAGTTTGGCTTTCCCACACTTGAGCAATAACAGAGATGATGGAGAAAGAAATAAAGTGGGACCCCTAAGCTTGATCAAGTTTACACCACAAAAATACACAGAGTATTTGTCGAAGTGCAGTTCACTGAAATCGGTATGCTTAAGATACTTGGCTGGTTGGAGGAGGGGTCCGGGTGGGGAGCTGTGTTTATAACACGTCTCACAAGTGATTCTTATACACACTAAGTTTGAAACCCTCTGCAACACTAAGACATAAATTGTGTTGGAGGCTAGGAACCTGTGATACATCAGGGACTTGAGAAGTCCATTCTTAGAATGGATCTAACACAAAGTTGAGAGTTAGGGTAGTTTACTACTCCTGGGTAAAATTTTAAATCCTATTTATTTTAATTTAATGGAATACATTTAACTGAGTAAAGTTTAATGAGGAGCATAATATGTTTCATGAAGGGTCATTAGTTTTATATTTCCCATTTGGACCATTACCCCCTCTCCCTTAACCCTCTGAAAACAGTTTACTCACAAGAAAAAAAAAATTGGCACAGAGAGAGAAATAATATGATTCCCAGCATTCAGACTGAAATACAACTTTCTGGGCCCTACCAGAGGAGTACTGCAGGGTCATAGGAAATTGTGGCATGTGTGGGTGTTGAAAAAGATTCCTCCTTTTAGCAGAAAAGCTCTTCGTAATTATCGTGTCTTTGCTTCGTAATTAGCACTACTGTTACAATGGCACAAAGACTTACAAAGACTTAATAGACAGACTGAGATTTTTTTTATTATTATAATATAATGCAGCTTGAATATCTGTTTAGATGCAATATATAAATATGCCAGATTTAGTAAATGTGTTAAATTTTTAATCCATTGGTTAGGGAAAAAAACAAAAACAGTTATTGTATTAAAAGCACTTCCTTTGAAGAAAGTCCATTTTATTTAACTCTGTGACAGGCTGGATATTTACCCCAAATGCTGGCTTGTGAGGCTGTTGAAATCCAGTAGGGATTCTGAGGGCACTAAAGGAACTGCCCCTTCGTCTCTTCCACCTGTGTAGTGCTGCTCCTGGTTCCCTTAAGCTGCCTTCCTACTCTCACAGTTGATGCTGGGCTCTGTTCCTGGAATGAGATGCGGGGTTGAGCATTTCAGGATGACCTAAAAATCTCAGCTCCCGCAGGACATGCTATAAGCCTGTAAGGTCATTCCTTGCCTTAACAGTGATTCAGCAAGCACCAGTTTATGCTCATCCCTGGTCAAGGGATTCTGAAACAGAAGACAGTCATTCTTGTTAAGGATGTAAAGCATATATAAAAATCAGTTTGGGAACAACTGGAGGGCAGAGGAACAGTAATCTCATGAACATAGGACAAGCTACTGAAAGGAAGGCTTAAGCTAGACAATTTAACAAAACTTTCAGACAGGCCGTTGATCACCAGATCATCCCAGGTGATCTTTGGAGTGGCAGAAGTCCCAGACAGTTTACCTACATATCCAGCACATGTTTTCTAACCACGAAACCCATATGGGAGCGATAATTAGCAACTGGCTAGAAGGGAACCTCTCACCTCTCAGTGACCTAGTCTGGGCCAGTAGTCAAGTGACTAAGTGTGGCTATGGAATAAAACACGAGGCCTTCTGCTGCTCCCTAGGAAATCAAAAAGATGCTTGTAACTCCTGCGGAAGGAACATTTGAGTCTCAGCTCTCTCCATAGATTACTGGCTTTTATTTATTTTTTTTTTCAGATGCCAGGATTGGCAAGAAGAGTTGTGTGTGTGTGTGTGTTTGTGTAGTAGGTGTGGCAGTGGGTGGGGGAAGGTAAGGAGGGGAGAGTAAGAGATGATATATATACGAACTTTTACTTTTTGTCACCTGAATCCTGTTTGGATTTAAAGACTTCTAAGAACAGTACTTCGAGCAAAATATTTCCTTGCACAGTAATAATTAAGGCCTGAATTGGGACTGAACAGGTCTTAAAATAGCTTATAAATTTGATTGTTCCACAGTGCTATTGAGGTTATCAGTAAGCTAAGACTAACTTTACATAGATGGTGAAAATTAAGAGCAATTTTTGTTGGAAAGCAAATGCAGCAAATAGTGGAATCTTTACAAACTCTATTACAAAGTTCAGGAATAGATGTAAAATATAGAAACATGTCTATTTTACTTGAGCTTTTATTAGGTCTAAACCGATTAAATAGGTTCCAATTTTATACTTATAAAAATATAGATGTGTGAAATTATTTTTATGCATGTTTTATAGATGTGTATTACACAGATACTTCTATGAAAAGAAAAAACACATTCACTTATTTGGTCATTTGTTGAATTTTCATTCTTTCATGCATTCGCTAAACGAAGACTGGCTGAATTCCTGCCGTGCGCTACATGCCATGAAATGCCTGGAGACGTGAACATTAACAAGGCCCCTCAAGGACTCTTAGTCCTTAAGCTTGCTCAGGCCAAGCGTGATCTGGCCCTTGCATTTGTCTTCCTCTCTTACCTCTCTTACCTTTTGCTATTTCCCTCCAATCAAAACCCCCACCAACTCCCACCTAATGATGTTTATGT